ATTATTTTAAGGTAATTTAGTTTTTAAATATGTTAAACAAAAATCATGTTACCCACTGCTGTAGGAGTACAGGGTTGTACAAAGGTTTCCGCAATTTTCTTATTGTGTTAGAGCGAAACCGTGTTGTAGGATGCCTACCCGTGTATCTGAAATCCGCAGACGCGTTTTTCTTCATCGATAGAGAAACATTTCGCCCATTTGAAATCAATTCCACGGCCCTAATGAGCCGTGCCTCCCCCTTTCGACAATGGCGTGAAACATCTCCCCGCCTCATTCTCTGGTATTACAGAACTTATCGACTGCCTAGGACACAATGTTGAGTAAACCGCGGCCACTATTTTTCTAACAACCCGTATATACCATAAAGTGGCGTGTACCATTTTCAATTAAGGAAAGAAGGTGTCATCGAGAAATATATGCTAGGACGTGTCCGACACGAATATCCTCACGTATAACGTGCACGCACCCGACGCTTTGCGAGTAATGTCGGCGAGTATGCGTGCAGCATACGTACGATTATTAACGGGCACGTATGGGACGATTGAAGTAACCGATCGTACCCCTTGACCCGTTAAAAAGTATTATTCGAGACGAGTTATCGCAGCCACGGCGTACAATCCCTCAGCACAAAGAGATCCGCAAATTAATTCCTTTACCGCCTCTCTAATTCGGCCGTTTCGCAAACCGCTAATCGCCTATTAATTTTAAGCACGCGGTGCTTTCGATCGCACAGGGAATTATTATTCGAGCATGAGTCACTACATGAAATGCGTGGAGCCTCTTCGAGGCTAATTTAGGGTTTTACAAAGCTGTTTCAAGGTGTACTTAATTATTAATCATTAATTGGAGTATATAACCGCGTTGCGAATGGTCTTATCTTTCACTCTAATCATCCATTTAACTGTAAGTGCCTAATAGTCTTAACTGCGCAGTCATTTTAATCATACAAAGAAATATTATTCGAACATTAGTCATTTTATGACAATGCGTGGAGCCTCTTCGAGGGTAATTTAGGGTTTTAGAAAGCTGTTTCAAGGTGTACTTAATTATTAATAATTAATTGGAGTATATAAGCGCGTTGCGAATGGTCTTATCTTTCACTCTAATCATCCATTTAACTGTAAGTGCCTAATAGTCTTAACTGCGCAGTCATTTTAATCATACAAAGAAATATTATTCGAACATTAGTCATTTTATGACAATGCGTGGAGCCTCTTCGAGGGTAATTTAGGGTTTTAGAAAGCTGTTTCAAGGTGTACTTAATTATTAATAATTAATTGGAGTATATAAGCGCGTTGCGAAAGGTCTTATCTTTCACCTCTAATCATCCATTTAACTATACGTGCCTAATAGTTTTAACCGCGGTCATTTCAATCATACAAAGAAATATTATTCGAACATGAGTCATTTTATGACAATGCGTGGAGCCTCTTCGAGACTAATTTAGGGTTTCACAAAACTGTTTCAAGGTGTACTTAATTATTAATCATTAATTGGAGTATATAACCGCGTTGCGAAAGGTCTTATCTTTCACCTCTAATTATCCATTTAACTATATGTGCCTAACAGTTTTAACCGCGATCATTTTAATCATACAAAGAAATATTATTCGAGCACGAGTCATTTTATGAAATGTCCAGAACCTTTTCGAGGCTACTTTAGGGTTTTACAAAATTGTTACAATGTCCCTGATATTAATAATCAATTGGAATGTAAAAACATGTATGATCTTATCTTTCACCTCCTCATCGTTAACAATAACTACCTAGTAGTTTTAACTGCGCAGTCATTTGAATGACACAAAGAATTATTATTCAAGGATGAGTCATTTTATGAAATGCGTGGAGCCTCTTTGAAACCAATTTAGGGTTTTACAAAACTGTTTCAAGGTGTACTTAATTAATAATAATTAATTGAAGTATAAAAGTGCGTTGCAAATGGTATTATCTTTCACCTCTAAACCCTCATTAACTATAATCACGCGATAGTTTTAACCGCGGTAATTTTAATCGTACAAAGAAATATTGTTCGAGCACGAGTCATTTTATGAAATGTCCAGAACCTCTTCGACGTTGATTCAGGGTTTCATATAAATGTTTTGATAATTAATTTCAGTTCAAGCACACAGTGATTTTAATCGCACAGGGGATTATTATTCGATCGCGAGACATTTAGAGTCTCTTGGAAGCTACTTCAAAATTTAATAAAATTGTTCCAGTGATCATTTGATATTAGTAATTAAATTCAGTACAAAAATCTCTCGCAGATATTCTTATCTCTCGGCTCTGTTTACTTATTAATTTTAAGCACGCAACAATTTCAATAGCACAGAGTATTATTATTTAATCATGAGATATCCAAAGCCTGAGCCTAATGTAGGATTTTATAAAAAATCTTCTCCGTTAGACTATTGTAACCATTTAACATTAATAATAAAATCAATTTGATAATACCAATTATCAACAATTAATAAAAACGCGACAAGAATGTTCTCATGAAAAATATTTTGAGAATACGTTTTAGAAACCCTATAATATTAATAATTAAATCAATTTGATAACATTACTTATTCATAATAGAAACATGCCACGGATCCAATCATACAAAAATTCATTATACAAAATTGTTCCAATAACCATTTAAAAGATCAATCATTAATTTGAGTGATTTGTGTCGGGGGGGTGTTTTCATCTCTCGATACGCCAATACTGGCTCGATCCGGCAAGACTAAAGAACTCCTAATCTCAGAAAGCACACAGAGTGAACGGGTCTATCTACTCGCCGGTTCAGTATGGTTTTTTTCTTCTCTGACCACTTCCGTGCCCACTGTTACCAGCAGCTGACTAATCAGAATTTTCCACTCCCGAAGGATCATGATAGATTGGATTGAGTGGTTCAATATCTAATATATATATAATGACATCGTTTGTTCCTCTCCAGTGAAAAGAAATTCATTGATTTGTATAATCCCAGCGCCTATTCTCATCGAGAAATGTACCTATGCAAATAATTAGACGTATAAATTTCCCTAGGAAAGTTATTCTCAACAGATTTTCCATTGTTCGAACCAAGGAACTATAATGCTTCGACGCAGGGTAAATAAGTTAACGTATGAATTTCCATAAGACAGTTATTCTCAGGGGATTTTCTATTATTCAAACCAAGGAACTATAGTGCCGGAACGCAATGTAAGTAATAAATGCATAAATTTCCCTAAGAAAGTTATTCTCAAGAGATTTTCTATTATTCGAACCAAAGAACCATAGTGCTCCGATATTCAGAAATAGTTAAAATATTAGAGATACTAAAAATTAAAAATAAAGACTAACCAAACTCTGCTTTGATATTCTGTCAAGCTCTAGCTACCCCGATTCACTGTCCTGCATGGAAACCTCTGATTTGATAATCCACCCCACGCAAGACCTACAAATAAATGAAACGTCACAACCCCCTCTCAAAACAAATAAATAAATCCTGCAGCCAGCTTCACTCTCCCATTTTACTGTGAAATGCAAAATTAAGTAACTTACGATTCTAATCACTCTCCCATAATCTTTGCAAAGTATAGAAATAAATGTTAATCATCGCAAACTTCATCTCGAGTCTAAAAATCTCATATAATTCTCATCGCTCTCCTACAATGAATCAGAAGTGTAGAAATAAATATAAAACATTATAAATTTTGCCGTGAAATCTCAAACCACCATTATTATTACTTTCCAATAATCATTGAGAAACGTAGGAACAAATGTAAGATGTCGCAAACTTCACGGAGAAGTGTACATCCCTTTATTTCCCTCTACGTAATATAATTACCTTCTATGTAATCCTGATGTGCAATAATCACTATAAACTATAGAAATGAACGTTAAACGTCATAAACTCCTTGCAAAGTCATAAACCCACGTAATTCTCATCACTGTTCCATAACTATTCAGTGGTAAAGAAATGAACATAAAGTCTCATAAACTCCTTTTAAAAATTGTAAACCCCCATTATTGTTATTGCTCTTCTACGATCCATACAGAACATAGAAATAAACGTAAACTGTTAAAAATTTCTCCATGAAGCTTGTGACCATAGATCGCCACGAGCTGTTTCTTAAGTTTTAAACCTTCAAAATGCCCTTCACTCTCTCTCAGGCCATACAAAAAGCATAGAAATAAATGTTAAACTTCGAAACTCCTAGTCTTAACTTATACAATTCTTATCACCTTCTCATATTCACTCTACACTAAAGAACTAAATATATAAAGTCTCAGGCTCCATCTAAAGTCACAGTCTAATGAATCCCACGTCAAATATAATCCTTATGACTTACGTTAACAAACGATTAAATCCTTACGAGTCTCATCATCCACTAACCACTCGGCATTAACAAAACCTGGAAATAAATGCGAAACCTTGTAAACTCCTCCATTTGTCGGCAAGGCTTTACATTTATTTCCTTTCTAAATAACGTAAATACCTTCCACGTAATCTTAGAGCACTACGATGACAGTGAATCACAGAGATGATCAGAAAAACATCCCGCCATGTAATCCTAAAGCGCTATGATCCCTGCAAATCACAGGAATGAACTTAAAACATCGCAAAAATCTTCCAAAGCCTCAAACCCTCCCAATTCTCACCTCTCCGGCAGTCCCTGCGAAGCATAAAAAATAAAACGTCACAAACTCTCCGTAAACCCTAAAGCCCTACAATTCTCACCGCTCTCCCATGATCACAGCTTAGCATAGAAATAACCGTAGAGCGTCCGAAACTCCCTCGCGAATTCTTACATCCGTGCCTCGCGGCCCTCACTTACTATTTATACGCAATTTTCTAGAAACTCACGGAAGGGTATACGAGACGACGTAATCTCGTCTCGGTCGAATTCGGTGACCTAACCTCTTGCTCCTGTAGCACTCGCCTCGCCAAATTCGCGAACGCGAGGACACAGGGAACGTATTCGAGCAAAACGGGTCGCAAGCCGACGAGAAGAAGCCGAAGAAACTCACCGTCAAGTGGCTCCTGGCTTCGGCGAGCACTCGCCTCTCCGGCGGGAGAATTCCGCGCCCTGGGGATGAAACGACTCTCTCCCGACCTCGACCTCGTCCGCCGTCTCCGCGGCACAATGGCCAAGAAACTCGCGACTCAACAACGACTGAACACCCGCGACAGAAGCTCGCTGCGAACTGCTGCAAACAAACGCGGCTCGAGATCCAACATGGCGTCCCGTAGAGTTTTCTGGAGTCGCCGACGCGGGCGCCACCTGTCCACCACCGGTCAAAGCCGTTCAACTAGTGACGGCCGACAGGGTTGGGTAATTTCGCCTTTTTCGAGGTTTTTGAACGTATATTACGTTAAGATAGTTCTCATTTACTCTTAGCAGAAGAATTTCACGATTTTCTTTCGCGCTACCTCTCAATTTGGTTGCATTTTGTCTAAAAATAATTCCATGCAAAATTTGAGCTTAATCGGACAAAGGGAAACAGTGCCTTTAGGCCCTTGAAAATGGAAAAAACCATAAAATTAAAGAAAAATCGAGTTTATTTGCTTATCTTGCAAAATATTAATTATACGCGTACAAGCTTTATGCAAAAGTTGTGGATCTATTAAAAATGCGCATATTATTACCTACAGAGATAAGCTGTTACCTAGGACTTTTTCTCGTATGACTGTTTCCGAGGAAACGTCGAAAAAGTATGTCACGTTTTTCGCATTTTTTCTCGGAAACAGTTAGTTATACGAGAAAAAGTCGTGGGTAATAATATGCGCAGTTTTAATAGATCTGCAACTTTTGTATAGAGCTTCTTTGCATATAATCAATATTTTGCAAGATAAACAAATAAACTTGATTTTTCTTTAAATTACGTTTTCAATGTGGAGGATGTCGCAGATGCATGATATACGTATCCGTTAGATTATAAACGTCTTTTAGCGCATGTGTAAATGTGTAAAAATTTGTATGAAATAAATTTGGTGTTTGTGTTCAAAATTCTTTCAACTTAATCCTGTTTAATATCAATTTTCTATCTGGATTTATTATTTTCTATTTAAGAACAAAAGAGCGTAATATCCTTCAGGCTTGTGTAGAAAATTAGGAACGTATTATACGTTGTAATATATACGTAGTAAACCATGTATGATATTACACGACGTTTTATACCCAACCCTATCGGCTGACCGATCTTACCGTGATTGCGAGTTCCTGGCGTCGAGATTTAAAATTTTCTAAGGAAATTCTTGATCTCTCGTTCCTCGATCCAGGGAACAAGAGTGAAGTTCGTTTAGTAGATCCGGCAGCCGATTCCTGAGCTCATTCGATCAACTCTCACAAGCGATATTGACAGTTTCGTATACGACTTTCAAATGTAGACCGATGATGTGACTTCGCAACAATGTGAAATTTTTCACGTGACTTTATTCGTATGATAAAAAGTCCATGTGAACTTGAGAACAAGAACCCTGGACTTGTGAGCTTGGTACCGGGACGATTTAAACACGGTTTGACATCAAATATGGCGCCGCGATGCGCGCGCCATCTTGGTGGGGACGGCGGAAACTACTCGTGGCGTGACTAAAAGTAACTGTTATGGACATTTTTGTACGAAATTATTGACTTAAAAAAGGAGAATGTTTCGGGCTTCGAATGAGGGTTTTGACGGAACGGTAAACAAATTCTCTAAACGCGAAAGAAGTAGTGATGGTTCTTCAATGAATTTTATACATGATAATTAAACTGTTTAACCGCGAATCGATATTCAAATTGGCGCATCCGTACGGGCGCCATCTGTCTACGGCACCTCAAAACCATAAGCAACTTTATTTCACGCGCCTACTTAAAAAAACCATCGAAACTTGATTTTTAAATTAATGTTCTAAATTAAACCAATAATTAAATATAATCCGTTTGCAATATTCGCTTACCGTTATGTCAAAAGCCATCTAGACGTTATTTATATTAGAATGAAACAAATTGTCAAAAATTCATGGCGTTGATACCGAATCAAACTTCAATCGCACCTACTTTTTAAATTCCGAGGACACAAAACCAAAAGACGGCGATTAACCAGCAAGTTAATCACCGGGAAAATTAATTAATCACCAAGCCTCGAAATTTGTCCTTGCGTTTGCTTTGCACAATCAGCTGTAGAAGTGACATAACCTCTTCGGCGACGCGTGCAGCTGCGAGTGACGCATTCCTGAATCACTGTACGTATCGCGATATACTTTACGAGTAATCTCGTCACGAACGGAAAACTACAGGAATGAAATAATGCATTTTCGACATTTCACATAAATTTGCAGGAACGAAAGCAACGTTTCCGAGCTAAACAGCTCGGAAAAGGGTACGATGAGGAGTCAAGTTTTGCAACTTTACAAGGATTTACTTAAATACGGGGCGAATCTCCGATTTACGGATAAACAATACTATCGGTACAGAATCAGGCGAGGTTTTAGGCAAAATAAGGATCTGGAGGACCAAGAAGCGATTCAATTCCAAATTGAGGTCAGAATTGACCCTTTTCTGCGTTCTAACCTCAAAGAACATCACTCTCTTGTGATTAACCTTATACACTCATAAACCTGTCTTCAAAACATTTCGTTGACTCACAGCTTTCACAACTCCTTTCATAAATCCGTGGCCTTTCTGCTTAAATAATTGCGTACCGATTCATTTCAGAAAGGGAAGAAGGTTCTGGAACACAAGAAGATAATCTGAAGAATTCGTAGCATAGTAATATTATTATGGACAAAGGATGCAAAACCTGTATCAGATGATGTCGACTCCAGGCTGTGCTGCATTTTCTGTAGTTAGAAACGTTTTAGCGAGTGCAAATAGCTGGAGAAGTAATACTGCGATTGGAACTCTTTATAATTTAAACAAAGATAGGAGCATTGAGTATGCTCAAGTGCGTTATAAATCATTGAAGAGGTTCCTGGATTTTTCAAAGGTGCCGAAGCTACTTGAAGAGGATCTCGAGGAGCAGTACGTTCGAGGTTCTGGCCCTGGAGGCTCGAATGTTAACAAGACCAACAATGCAGTTGTGTTGAAACATAAACCAACAGGCATTATTGTCAAATCCCATGAAACTAGGAGCCAATGGGACAATAGGAAAATAGCCAGGGAGAAGATGATCATGAAGCTGGATAATCTAATAAATGGAGAGAACTCCATTGAAAATCAAGAACGTGCATTACAGACAAAATTTATCAAAGAAAAGCAAGCTCAGAAAAAGAAGCTACGCGACATGAAAGCTGCTTTCAAGGAGCGTGAAGGTCTTACATAATAATCGCATGATAAAATTAATTAAAAAAAAAAGCTCCACATTCTCATCAAGTCATGAAAAATGTAAATAAAAGGAGTCAGTAATTGCAATTATGCTTTTCTTTCTTGTGGAAAAATTCATGTAAATAAATATAACAGAATGAAAGCAAGGAACTATATGGTATGATTAGTTTTCAAAAAGTTTGAGAATTCTGCATACTTGCCTTTGTTATAGGATGAATAAGGTGATATGAAAGTGGCCTCTCAAACGTTAAATTGTTCAAACATCTTTTCTCAAACCTAGGTGCATCAAATCATTTGAAACTTTCCCACATAAATATAGGCACCTTTAAAAAGGTCCTGCAAATGTTGATAACTTTTCAAATGATATATCAGTTAAAGAAATCCTTTATATCGACATCAATTAAATTTCTCGACGTCTCATGTCACCTTAAATCCATATTAACACTCCATTGCTTTGTAAATTGTGAAAGAACCTAAATAAAGGAGGGGTAATTCCAAAAACGCCTGATATCTTATGAAAAATTCGTGGTTTTTAATCGCTTCTCTTTGTAGAACTCTTTCTCTCTGTCTTAATGGAGAGACTTGTAGTAGTTAAACTTCTCTCAATTAAGGTATTCAGGTTCTCCTCAGTGCGAGGAATTCGAAGTAGAACATTAGAGATACATTAATGTACGGAACAACGAAGAGGGGGGGTGAGAAGGGAAAGGTTATTCTATTGTAAAGCTTGTATGCAGTCTTGCGTACTCTACGAAATAAACCGATTTACAAAAAGGATGAAAATAACCCAACCAGACACGTCAGTATTCTTGGCGATGAAAATCAGTTCCATCATGATCGAATGACACCAAACGACGCATCGTAGGCTTTGTTCCGTCAACAAAAATGTTAAACAAATTTCTGTAGTAATCACAAATGAGTTGGAAAGGCGTAGAATGAAATAAATAATTACATCGACAGTGTTTGAACTAGTGAAACATATTGGACGTGCCATCAGGCTTTTTACGGCTACAATATGTCAAAAGAAAGAGACGCGTAGATCCGAACGTAAACAAAAGGAATGCAAGAAAGCATTTAGTTTCCTTTCTGGTAGGATCGGTTCGTCGAATCGTCCGAATTGTCTCCATTTACGCCATGATTGGAGATGTAACCTAACTTCTGAAACTGATACAAAACAAAAAGAAAGAACGAAACCCCAACAAGGTGTTCCATCGAAATTCCCTCGCAGAGCACAAGTACCGCACTACGAAATAATGTACAATAATACCAGGAGGGCGGTACGCAAAATCGAAACCACCAAAGAGACGAGAGCACTTTTACAAACGACATCTCTTCTTCCATCGCTCGACTAACTGTAACGCTATTAAACTGCTCCTACAGGTTCCTCACGTCCGATTAAATACTACTCTACATACACAAACATGAATATCCACACACTCTCTCGAGAATTCTCTTACTCTGAGCCTCTCTCTCTCCCCCCCATATGCACAGAACTGTACAGAAGTTGCACAGGGTTGGATTAAGTTTCGAAACTTGGACGCACCACACAAGGAACAATCGAACAGGTTAGGAGTCCTCGCCAGGCTCCTCTCCGTCAAAGGCTTCTCCGCAGAGTCCCACGGCACTAGCATTGACCGGCACAACCACGAGGCCTATGGCCACCATTTCATCCAGGATCATCGGGGTTACGGACTGCGACTTCAACTGTTCTTGAGCCACCGACCAAACTGTCCCCTGGAGCCCTTGAACTTCCTCGAGGGAGGCTGGACGTTCGACTTGGGCGAGGAGCCGGAGCTTCTCAGCCTTCGATTGCTGGCCACTGTCACTGAAAGGACACCATGATCCATGTCGACCTGGTCGTCGATCTTCATCATCCTGACCACGGGCTGGAACTCCATGCTGGAGCGTCGCTGCTCCAGCTCCGAGGAGGGAACGCCCCCAGGACTGATGCGCTCCGACAGGTCGTTACACTCCATCTCATTGTCCTGGCCATCAAGGCCTACCAAACTGTCGCTACTCCGAACGTTCTGACGTCTTGCACTTTTCATACACTGTCTCTTCGCGTACGACTCCCTCTTGCAGTTCTCGTCTCCATGGTCGACGTCGGGGCACTTCTTCTGGCGTTTCCTGCCAATCTTCCTGGGATGGGTTTCGAGTTCCGGGGTTTCGGGAGGGACCGTGTCCCTTTGATGCCTCCTGGGTACGGAGCCGTTCGCGTGGTTCCGCCTGGAGGCCAAACCAGAGTTCAGTTCCTTTCCGAAGAGACCCTCCTGATTCTCAGGCTCGACGCGACTCTCTTCCAGGGTGCCACTTCCTGTCGTGTGACGATTTCTGGTTGTCGCTTTCTGATTCTGTAGTCTTTCGAGAATGGCCGTCAAGGTAGTGTCCTTCCTTCCAGTGTTTTCAAGGTTCTTGTGGTTCTCAGGTTCTCCAGGAAAATTCTCTGAGTGACAGTCCAATGTAGGAGGGCTCCTTCCAGGGGAGGGATCCCTCTCAGGAGGGATCCTTGGAGGCTCTTCCTGGACATCGCTGGCTTTTGAGGATTCTTCACGGTCTACGACATCCGTAGCACTTCCCGGAGAGCTTTCGCAGGGGACGTCGCAGTTCTGTGGGCTTTGCTCTTCCATTCGCTCCGATGCGACGATCTCCGTAGAGCCTCCACCCCCCTCCAAAGTCCCTTCTTTCTGCCCAGTGTCTCTGGTGCCATCGCCCTGGGACTGTGGCTCTCGCACGTCCCCGAGGTCTCCTCGCTTCTCCTCGGAGAAGCCACTAACGGCCTCCTGGCCATCCTCTTCAGGCACCTCCGGAACACTGCAGAGCCTCTTCGAGACATCCTCCTCCAATGGTCCACCTTCCTGGAGCCTCTGCAACCTTTGCTCCCGCGCAACTTCCTCCCTCTCGCCCTCGAGTTCGCCGAGAACTTTCGCCTGGAGCTTTCTCTTCATCTTGTTCCCCGGCCAGCCTGTCCTGTTCTTCCTCTTCTTTCTCCTCTTCAGGGGAGACTCCGTGCCCGCTTCGCCGCATTCCGAGCTCGCGCACGAGGAGTTCTCCAGGCAACTGATCACCGTGTGGCAGTTGTCCAAGAGTTCCAGAAGGTTCGGAGGTGCTCCTCGGGGAGGCACCGGGTCCTCCTCCGGATGCAAGTCCCCACCTTGGGTCCCAAAGCAGTCCTCGAAGTCCCCCAGGTACTCTAAGTCCTTGCTCCGCAGCATCTCGTCGATGCTCCTGGCCATTTCCCTGATCTCCTCGTCTACCTCCACCCTGGAGCCAGACTTCGGTGCCTCGACCTGGTTCTCCTCCTCCTCGATGACCCCTAGGACCTGCTGTTGCTGCTGTTGCTCGCGCTTCCGAATGATCGTCGACATGATCGCCAGGGTAGAGGCGTGGCACCTGGGGCTCTTTCTCGGGGACCGGCCTAAACCTGCGAAGCCTCGCCCCCGTCCTCTCCTCCGTGTCTCCCCTCTCGTCGCGTTCCTGGCGAGGGTCTCGTGGAAGTTCTCGATCTCGTAGGGCAGGAGGAACGGTCTCTGGGAGTCGACCTCGCTGAAGTAGTGCCAGAACTCAGCGCCCTCGTCCTGGCGCCGGTACGTTTGGTACCAAGGCTCCGACCTCGGCACCGCTTCAAACGAAAATTGCAATCTCTCGACCTCTGCGGAGGGCTTCGAAGGGTAGATGATCCTAACCTGGTCGGAATCACCCTCTTTGTCCCCACCACACGCACCGACACTTGCACCTATGGACTTTGGCTCCCCTTCGCAGCATGACTCCTTGGCCTCCCCGAGCCCTGTCATGGGTGCCTGGTAACGAAGCCTGCTGCCAGGGGTCTCAAACTTGTAGTAGTCCGCGTTGTCCATGATCAGAGCCTCCGCCTGGGTCCTTCTTCTCTTCCGTGCCCTGCCCAGGTACGAGGAGTCCTGTGAGTCCTCTTCCAGGATGACCTGTCTTGTCTCCTGTTGGCTCGGAGAGCTGACAGTTATCGAAGCCAGGGTGGCCTCCGGATCACTCTCCGTATCCTTAGGCAAGACGCTGCTCTGCTCTCCCTCGCTGTCACTCGAGTCCTCCCTCCGGGGCTCACCGAACATAAATGACTCCGCTTCATCACTCAACAACGACAGCTCCGACTTCCTCACTCTCTTGAACCTCACGACTACAGGTTTTTCACTGACAGCAGGGTCACTTTTCTCCTTCTCTTCGTCTGGGTACTTGGAGACGACGCTCGGATTGGAGGCTGGCAGAGTGCTCGACCTGAGTTTGCTGCCAAGTACCTCAACCTTGTAGTAGGCCCGGTTGTCCTCGATGAGTCTCTCCTCGACGGAGAGCCTGGGTCTCCCCCTGGAGGACCGTCCTCCCCTACGTGCCGGCTTGCAAACCTTTGGCTTCTCCTCCTTGGTCTCCTTCTCGGCACAAATCGAACTCTTCGACCCCCTCCTCTCATCTCTCCTGTCGACTCCGTTGCAGCTCTTCTCCTCAACGACCTTGTCATTAACGTCTTCCAAGGCATTACCATCTTCCAGGATTCGATCTCGCCGCTGTGACCTCTCTTCAACCTTCGCCGACTCCTCTGCCTTATCCTCCACCCCAGGACTTGCATCAGGGCTCTTGCACTCCTCCTTCACCATACACCCGTTCATTTTAGGTCTACACTCCACCGAACCGTAATTCTCTTCACCCTTAATCTCAAAGAGGAGTTTGTCGTTCCTAATCTTCTCCTCGAGATTCGGGTTGGACCTCGCGGCATTATCCTCCACCAGTTGTCGCACTTGATTCACTTCGCACCTCTTCGGCTCCGGTTCGACCAGACCATTCTGCCTCTCACCGAGAGTCTTCACTTCTGGATCCACACACCGAATTCCGTTAATATTATCCAATGGAGTATTGCCATCTTTCAGATTCTCCTCCGCGACGCTTTTGATCCCCTGACCGCACTTCTCCTCAGGGTCATCCTCTTCGATCCAGATGGTGCCCTTCGCCCTCTTCTTGATGGTGAAGCCTTCGAACTTGTCATAGAACTTTTCGCTTTTCTCGACCTCGTGCCAAGGGCTGCCCTTCGAGCGCAGTAAATGTCCGCTCTCGTGCTTCGTCCTGGTTCGCAGGTTGTGAGGCGAACTCAGCTTCAGATTGATGTTCCGTCGTGCACCGTTGCACTGCACCATCTTGATGTCCTCCACGCCGAAAGCGTCCAAATTAGTCTTAGCAGTCTTTTCCGGCTTGTTCTGCAGGCCTACATTGCGAAGAGCCCGGTCCCCGTTGGGAAACAGGTTACATTTCTTTCTGTCGAAACATAAAGAAACTTTGAGGTTAGGACACTCTTTGAAGCAAGCAGGGTTGTGCAGTGACACGTCATACAAAGAGTTTAATGTAAAATACTTCCCATAGATATTTTACGTAAAGTCCAAGTAAAATACCTATGAATTTACACGACAAAGATAGCGGGACTGTAATCTCACTTTTTCAAAGCGTTCAAAGTATACAAAGAACTTCGATAAAGTCTTTGATTATATACGCAGGCCTCAACTTGGCAACAAAATATTGGGTTATCTTTATATGAAAATGATAGCTCCTTATACTACTTTTGAGTCTACTTCTTACCCAATGTCCTTCGCTCGATTCAGCTTTAGAAAAGCTTCTACGCTGGCCCCAGAGTTGATCAGGGTGTCCAAAGCAAGAAAGTTGTTGTCATTGCGAACAAAGTTGACGTGCTGATCACTTCTGACATGTTTTGACAGGTCCCGATACTCTATTCGACAAATCTCGCAGTATCCAGAAGCCAGCTGTTCGGTTCTGCGAGCACGCGCTGCCGTGGTTCGGGGTCGGCGAGTCATCTCCTTTTCCTGCTTTTGAAAACCGACAAGATTAATCATGATTAAGAAAAACATAAATAAATAAGAGGACTACCCATTTACATAGAGCATTATTGTCCAACTCACGTTGTTCACCGTCGCCAAGTCACGGTCTCCTCTGTTCTCCTTGACGTTCTTGCCAACCGTGTTAACCTGCTTCCTCACTTGTGGCTTATCGAAGGGACAGGAACCTGGGTCACCGTCAAAGTTCAACTTTGGCCACACTGGCAGTTCCAAGAACACAGGCCTGGTTTCTCTGCACACACGATATCCACACGAATCATTTTTAATCTAACCAATAATCCATGGTACACCAATGAACAGGGATGCCTTCCTCATGGATACTCTGCTACCGGTGTATGATGGGAAGGCATGCGTGTCCACCCGTGTACATCCAATAACCTCTTCTGATTATATTTCATAAGAGAGTTTATGAAGTAGCACAAAGAGCTCCCACTTCCACATAAAAGTAATAATTTTGCGTAAAACTCTATAGTTTCTTGACCCCATATATTTCATTACCAAGAAAACAGTAATACTAGCGACTCTTGCGGAAAAATCCAACACTTTTAAAAACGTTCACAAAGGGTCATCGTATGTCGTCTAAAAAAGACTTATGTGATAATCACAACTCACTTATTAACCACCGAGACACTGATTATTCAACATCTTTCAAATATTAATAAATAAAAACTATAAGACCAGTAGGACAAGCTGACTGTGTTTTCATGTGTTTACATCCGACTCATATTTTAAATGCCATCATATTGCAAAATCGAGTTACAACACATTTCTCGCAAGGATCACTACTGTTGACCACCTCGATAAGAATACATGGGGTCAAGATTTTGTGAAAAGACTCATAGTCGAAGCTTCTTACGCCACTTGGTGAGTTCTTCGCAATACCTAACCTGCGAAATGACTCGAACTTAAGGTAGGGCGCCTTTAGGTGTTTAACCTTAGGCTCCTTGCCCGGGGCTGTGCGGCACACTGGGCTCAGACTATCAGTGTCCTTCAGGGATGCGTAGATCTTGTCGAGCCACGCCTGGAGCTTGTCAGTGGCCCAAATGGGAATGCCCCAGTTCTGGGCGTTCTTGAGTGGATCCACGGAACACTGCTGTGGCTGCGTCAGAGCACGCTCCAACATTGCATCCGCTCGGGATTTCTGGACACAAAGAGAGCACGTTGAGCACTAATCGAGATCTCAAACCTCCCACTAATGGCGAACACTCTCAATCCGACGAGAAACACTTCTTTCATTCGACTGACAAAGAAACGCTCCTTCGCTCTAACACTTTGATCACACTTCACTCACAGATCTTTGGGCAGTTTGACCCCGCAGATTGGTCGAATTCGAAAGGGGACACTCAACGCTGGGATACGGCGTAGTTGGAGGAGTTGGAGTCGGTGTCGGGGCTTCCGTGCTGCGCAGCGAGGGAGGTCCTCCGCTCCCTACGCCGGTGCAGCCCCATTTGTATCTGTCACTGCTCGCAGTCTGCCCAACCTTGTCCGCTCGGTCGCTGACCACTAGGGTGATGCCACGCACTAGGAACACCTCGATAGCCTGCAAAACCACCGATTGATTAACGTCATGACAAGGAAGATGTTTATGATGCGAGCACGTAAAGGATGGCTTAAGCATTTCCAAAGATATTGCACAAGTGCAGGCAGCGTTGCTTAATCCGAGGCAAGGCCTCGCATTGTGCACCGCCATAATATCTGCTGACCCACTTAGCAGCCACCTCTTTGCATAATTGATTAAAAATATAGATTTCCTATAAATTTAGAGTATTTTAAACCAACGTTTCGAAACGAAGATTTTTAATGCTTCCTTTAAAACGCACATGCATAATAATGTAAAATAACCTTTGATAGGATAATGTTGCCATAGACAATTCCTATAAATTTAATGAATTATCATATATTATATGGACAATGACTTTAGCATTTAAGAATAAGTATTGCAATCGACATGTAGTATATGCATATACTCATAATGACATAGTGTATATATAAATGAAACCTGAAAGAATGAATGAGACTGAAAAATTTACAAGAATATTTCAGAGTAGAAGAGTTTTCAAACGAAATTAGTATAATCTGGGTCCTCAACGAGAAAGGTTCCTAAAAAAAAAACCTACCACGATTCACCCACAACAGCCTCACAACCCAGAATACACCTATCACACCTCGTTTACATTAATATATTTCCATTATCAGCCACCAAAACTCTAACAATCAATGCACAAATTTTGATTCTTCTCGATCCCACTTGCTAAAATCAGAAACAAATTGTAGCAAACAACCAGAGATGCTTTTAAAATTTTTAACGCTTGTAAACCCAAAGGGAAAGTCCCAAATGATTTCCTCAATTTCAACACAACGAACAAAGGCTCCAAAAAAAAAATTCTACAAATTAGAATAAAGAAAAACAACGGCACATTCAAGAATTTACTTGACACTTGCAACCTCCCATGGAACTGCAACACAATTTTAATCAATTTCCACAATTTCTGCACGAGACCGCCAATACAATATTTTGCACAAAGCCTAAGAAAAATAATCTTCCAAATAATTAATAACAATAGTTCTTCAAATGTACTCTTTGACATTTACTGGAGAATGAAGAAATTGTGCAGCATGTTTTCTGCGCAAAAATCCAGAAACATAACCATCCACATCATTTAGAATAACTTGACACTTGCAAACTGTTAGGAAAATTCAGTGCATTTTCCACAGATTTCTTCAACTTCCACATGAAATTTCCAGTACAATATGCCATGTAAAGACAGAATAACCACTCGAATGATCTATCTACAATAAACAAACAGCTACGCTCCAAACATCCTCCTTGCGAACTTCCCAGGAAACAGATAAAATTTTTCTCAGATTTCCTTAATTTCCCCACGAAATTCCCAGTAAAACATCCCATGTAAAGATGAAGAAAGCTAACCTCCCAATCGATACATCTCCAATAAACAAACATTGCGTTTGAACCTCCTCCCTGTCAATTTTTATAGAAATGCAGCACATTTTCCCTAGAAGTTCTCAAATTCCCCCAAAAAGTTCCTAGTAAAACATCCCACATAAACATTAAGAAAGCTAACCTCCCAACCGATACATCTCCAATAAACAAACAACATTGCGTTTGAACCTCCTCCTAGTAAATTTTTATAGAAATACAGCACATTCACCCTGGAAGATCTGAAATTCCCCGACGAAATCCCTAGTACAACATTCGAAACAAACGTGCAGAAGAATAACCTCTTAGCCAATCAACCTACAATAAACAAACACCAACGGTATGAACATCCTTGACACCCGCAAAAATAGCGAGAAAAATAGCAACTTGCATCCTCTCGACTTTCTCGGACTGCCGAGAAGGCCAGATCATAAAGCCTCGGCGTACAAAGGCCGGGAGAAGGGACGCCGGGTGCGCGAGAGACTCACTGGGGAGGATCCGAGCATAGACTAGCGCGGGCACGTGGGCTGCGAGAGAGGGGCGGCCCGCACCAGGAGTCCGCGTCGAGGCCGAGGTCGCGGTCGCGCCTCGCCGCTCGCGTCGTCCCTGGGGTCTATATCGCGCCTTCGGCGTCGAGCTTCGGGTCGGTCGGCGCGTCGGGGCGATCCCCGACGCGGCGGCACGGAGGGCTGCTCTCGGCTGGCGTCGCCCGGGGTGAGCGCATCGCCGCGCTTCCTGCAGGGGCGTCGCCCTGGGGGACGCCGGACGCGTCCCGGGTACCGAATGACGCCGAATGACGCCCGCGGCGACGTATCGCGGTGTCTGGGGCTGGGGCGCGGGCACCCCGGGACTCGGGCGCGCCGTCGGAATCGGGGCCTCCTCGCGAACTGTCACGCACACGGATGTTGCAAAATGGCCGCCAGCCGTTACGAGGTTCGCCGCGGCGCCGCCGCGGGGCGCTCGCGCCGGCGCGGCGGCGGCGCACCGTGACTCGGCGCGAGATTCGAAATTCCCTGACGCGGTTGACTACGAGAATACCCTACTCGGCAAAAAGTACCGAAAAACATAAAACTGTACAGACCAGAGTCTGACTTATATTGATTATGTCTCCATCATACTCCTTAATCCCGGATTAACGGGTCCAGATCCAGAAAATCGTCTCCGTCGCATTAATATATACGCAGACTCGATCCTGAGCGTCTCGATCGACACTTAAATTAGGATTTACCGGGCTTGGACCCGATACATCCCGAATTTCGAGTCCGATGGAGACGTAGTCATTATTTGGGATAATCCAAAGAGATAAGAATTCAATTTTGGCCTCAACAGTACTATTAATTTCCGAGATATCCTCATAGTCTGCGTTCAAGCATGCGCCAGCATGACTTTTAGGTATTGCAGCTTCTTTTTGACGAACAGGGTAGTTGATTTGCATTTTTTATGAAGAGGAAGCGATTTGAGCTATTTTTCTAATTAACCGTTTGACTGTACAACACTCAGAAAAAGAAATCCGTGCCAATTGCTCGGCGCAGTGATACAAAACAAGAAGAATTTAGGCGTTCTTTGTAGACAAAGGACAAATGTATTCGGCGAAGTATTTCTTTCCGCCGAAAGTGTCCCTTTTGTTTTGAAATTCAAGGTTGCCCAGATAGTCCCGCAATTGGATTAACGACGTAACGAGAGTATTCGTTAGAACAGTCGGAGATCGATTCGAATTTGCTTTAATTACTTTACTACAGACAGTTCCCGCCGTTACGTGTTAATCGATTCCTGGCGAGTGTTCGAAATGCATACAATTGAAAATATAACATTCCGATAAAAGGAATTCGAAACGTGAGACCTGTCTGCAGGGTTGGGTAGATATAATACGTCATGTAATGTACGGGGTTATCTACATGTACAATTGAACGTATAATACGTCCCTAATTTTCTACGCGAGCGCCAAGTACATTACGCCTTTCTATTTCTAAACGGAAAATAATAAATCAAATTAAAAAGTCTAATATTAAACACGGTTAATTCGAAAGAATTTTGAACATAAGCGTCAAATTAGTCCTTAAAAATGTTTATACGTGTTTACACGCGCGCCAAAGGACATTTATAACCTAGCGGATACATATATCGTGCATCTGGGTCGTCCCCTACATTCGAAACGTGAAATTCCAAACAACTTTCAACGAAAGCGCCAAATTAATATACTAGTCCGTAAATGATATTTACGTATTTACACGTGTGCTAAAAGACGTTTATAATCTGGCCGGTGCCGTATATCGCACAGCCGTGTACCGTTTTCTACGGTAAAGTACTTGGTTTACGTAATATACGTGAAAAACCTCTATAAACGCGAAATGACCCAACCCTGCCTGTCTGTACGTTATTTCAGAATAACGTAATAGAGCGCCAACTCAGCGCTGCGGTCAGCTGGGTAGGGTCATCCAAGATGGCCGCCGCCATAACGAGATTCCGAATTCGGCGCGCGCGCATTCCTCGCGCCCTTCGTTCCCTACCTTCGTCCCCGATGAAAAACCTTGCTCCTTCTCCCTCTCCACGGATTTCCCTGCCCATCCTGGGGGTCTATTACGTAAAGCAAATTGAGCGAAAATGTGAAAAATGAGTAGCTTACGGTATTACGGAACGTTTTTCGTGGTGAAAATGCGAGACCATTCATATGAACTGGCTCGACACAAATTTTTAAGCGAAATAGTGAAGCATACAAGAATAGGTAGAAAGATAAGCGCCGTGAACGCTATCTTCCACGGATTGTGAAACCAAAATTCAAAATGGAAAACCTGGGTGTTTTGATTTTTGGCAACAATCGTATTCGGGGATGTAATAATAACCTTATTAGAAGAAGGAAGGAATTACGTGATGCCTCAGACCCATTTTCGTTAGAAGAAAGAGAATTTACAAGGATGTACAGGTTAGTGTTTGTTATTGCGAGGTTATATTACATTATTAAACAATGAAAACTGTTAAATAATTCATGCTTACATGACATGATAAGAAAATTATATTGTTGAACTTCTAATTATAGTAAATGTAAATATGAATGTAATACACATTTAAAAAATATAGATAGACTCGAGTCCTCTTCTTTACTTTTAACGGCTTTCCATCTTCCCGCCTTTCCTGCCTATAACCCACACCTCTCGGAATGTTCGACTTACAAGGTATATACCTTCATTTGCAATATTACTAGACCGGAAGTGCTAGTGATTCTCGTTCTTTCATACAGCGAATACGTAATTCGGCGAATAAACCCACGTGAGATGGAAGTGCGAGAAGTGAGCGCGCTCGTCAAAAATACGTAATAAACGCCCAGAACGTCTCAACCTCGCCGCGAATGACCGTCTTCGAGATGCTTCGCGATTCACCCGTTACTTTCAAGATGGCGACGAGATTCAAATTCCCGCCTCGCGCCAATCCCCCCCCCTCCCGCGAACGACTCGGCAACTTTCAATCTCCATTCCCCGCTTCTCGGATCCACACGTCACCGATACTATCGTCGCAAGTTGCGAAACTATTACCTCGGGTTCACGGATTATTTCGAGATAATGAATCAAGTAGTTTATAGAGTTCTGAACGCGGTAAGCTATAAGGTTAAGTTAAGGAACGATGAGAAATTCCCGGCAACTTGCCGGTAATTTCTCCAAAGCTTTTTTTCGTATCGAGAAATTATGAGAGTTTAAATCTTTACGTTAGAGCGAGTCTAGAGGTTCCGATTGGCTATGGAGGAACATCAGAGACGGGGAATTTCCGTTGTACCGTTCTCAGCAGCCAATCAAAACCTTCCATTCGCTTCCCGCCGAAAGAATAAAATATCGGCTCGTTTTGAAAGAAATCGCGGGTAATTTCCCGGGAAGTTGTACGTACCTACGTGAATATCATCAGCTGGAAGTTAATAAGACCCTACAATCAATATTTCCTGATAGTATTTATTACTCTTTAGCTTCAACTTCGAAGTGCTTCGAAAAGAAATGTCATTTAAACGAAGGAACCTAAAGTATAAATAAAAAAAAATAACCTCGTAGATTCTCGACATTCCCGGTGATATTTACGGTGTCTTCCACGGTAACCTTCTCCAATTTTAGGTTATCGAGAATTTTCGAACTCTACGTTTAAATCGCCCGTCCCAGATTCACCGAGGTTCCCGCGGCCGACGCAAGATGGCGCGCGCGCGCTACCAGCGCGGCCGGCGGTGTTTGTCAACAAGCGAGGCCGCAGAAGGGACGCCGCCGCCTCGTCGGTGTCGAGGCCTCCCGGGTGCGGGGCGACGCGCTCGCCGAGAGCGGCGAGAGGCCGCGGAATTTAGGGCGGAGCCCGACTCGCGGCTTAGCAACAGTCCGAACGCCGGTCGCTCGACGGAGGCACGCTCGGTCGGTCGGTCGGTACGCGCGTTAACTCGACCCCCCGCGAATTCCTTCGAATTCGCCACGCTAGCAGGTTCGATACCTTCTGAACTTTCGACCAAACTCGCGGGTGTCGGTCCACCACTCATTGGCCCTATTCTTGGGGGGGGTGCGCCAGGATTGGTCGTTACCTGACCTATCACGAGTTACCGTTGCTCGAGGTCGAGTTAACCCACACCTTCTCAGGAGTTTTCCTAGTCTAGGGCCAAGAAGTCGCGCGCCGACCTCTAGTGGATTCTTGTTGTTCGGGGCCGAGTTAATGCGCACCAACCTCTACATTGGTCTCGTGGTTCAGGGCCGAGGTTAACGCGCGTCAGTTGTCTCACAAGTTTTTCTTATCCAAGGCCAAGAAGTTGAGCACCGACCTCTAGTGGATTCTTGTTCCTCGGGGCCAAGTTAATGCGCGCCGACCTTTAGAGTTTCATCGTTCAGGGCCGGAAGTTAACGCGGCATAGACTTCCTCCTGACTTTCCTTGTCCAAGGACAAATAGTCGCGCGCCGACTTCTAGTGGAGTCTCGTTACCTAGGGCCAAAGTTACCGCGCACCGACTTCTCGGTCTTTCTAATTCAGAGCCGGGATTCTGTACGCCAATTCGATAGCTATCGATATCGTTAACCCATTGGAATAATACAGCTGATGATATCGATAGCTATCGAATATGGTGTATGTCAGAGTCTCGCTGCAGGGCCGGGAGTTAACGCGCATCGACCTTCTCCGAGTCCCCGTTGTTCAGGGCCGAGTTAACGTGCACCGAGTGTGGCGCTCCGCTGACGGTCAGCGGGAAGCCGGAGAGCGCGGACGAGCGAGAGAGGTAGAAGGGATGACCGATGGGCGTGAGAGAGAGGGCCGACTCCGGCAGAAAGGAAGCGTGAGCGGGCGCGAGAGAGAGAGAGAAGGGACAAGAGACTATATAGGGCGCAGCGAGGGAGCGAGAGAAAGAGAGGCGCGGTTTTAGGGAACGGTGAGGGCGAGACAGAGAGAGAACGAGAGAACGTGCAGCTGCAGGGGACCCCAGGGGAGAGAGAGAGACGGAGACGCGCGAGTCACCCGTACGAAATATAACGCTAAAACGCGCCGTAACGAATCGATAAGGTTAAAACCAGACGCGAAAATAGTACAGAGCTCGCCGGCCTCGGATTGCGCCGGGCGGAATGAAACCGTGTTTCGAGCAGCAGGGCGGCCGATATCGAGTAACCAGGGTGACGGAAGGTGAACGACCTTTCTTCCACACTTCCTGGGTTATTAAGCCAATTGTTTGCGATACGATAGCCAGCCAGGAATGGTTTTGCGTCGCGAAACATTTCGACATACTTCGTTTTCAGGTTAAACGAAATTTTCTGTTCATTTCAGAGTCTTCGTCGTGACTTTGTAACGGATGAGCCATAAACTTTGCAGATTTATCGGTGCATCGTGATGTAAAACCTTTTTCTTCCCCTTTTAACTATGAAGAAACAAATTTTGCGTAAGAACCATTTGACGAATCCTTGATAAATACATTTATCTGGTTTTATCGAATTGCTTTGCCACTAGTCTTGAGTGATTTCTTACCGTGGTTTAGTTAAGAGATAGGGTACTCACGCCACCGAGATCCTTGATTTTCCCTTCTAGCTTTGACGACAGCGCATGGTTTTTTATGTCCAGGTAGAACGTCTTCCTTTCCAGAGGTTTCGATCCTTTCTGCAGGCGCACATCTGTAATACACGTAATGCTTAATGCTTCGTCTGCTCTTTTCCAACTGTTATTAATTAATATATCCTACCAAATCAATGAATACATTCAATGGTGAAATCGTCACACCTTCCTCCTATGATTCACTGTACAACTTGGAAAATTTTCTAACCTATACGATTAAGGATATTTAAAATTGAATAGTACCTAAGCTGCATCGGAATGTTACATAAGAAAAGGAAAGTACTTGTGATTTCTATTGATTACAAGACCACGACTGATGCCAGGATTCAAAACACTATGATGAATATTGTGTTAAAGTCGAATAGACATTCGAATCAACGATACTAAAAAATCAATCGATTGGTTAGGTCAACGGCAAAGTAGTCAAATATTAATCTCTAACAAAGCTTCTACGATTCAACTAAAAAAAAAAAAACAAGTAAATATGGCTACTTAGAGGATTTAACAAGATAAAGGATTCAATAAAACATTTAAAACAACCATCCAAACCAATGACGAGCAAATAATCCATCACCGAGGAAAACTTTGAAAAGCCACTAAACATGTAAAATAGATATTGCACAGATCTGACAGCGAAAGGAAACTAGCTGAACTTTAGAAGTTAATAAAGCAGGGCGTGATTAACTTCTACCTATGAAATTTCTTAAAACATCCTTTCGAACCAATGGCAGTCAAATAATCTCTCATCAAGGAAGATTTGCCAAGGCCTTTAAACATACATGGCAGATGTACAGATCTGACAGGCAAAGGAAATTAGCAGAAAAGAAAGTTAATAAAGCAGCATAACTCGCTTCTACCTACGAAATTTCCTAAAACATCTATCGGAACAGATGGCAGTTAAATAATTCTTCATCAAGGAGGGCTCGGCAGGATCTCAAAGTATGTAACATAGATATTACATAGGCTTGATCGTAGAAAGAAACTAGTAGTACAAGAATATTAACAAAGCAGCGTGTGACTCACTTCTATCTATGAAATTTTCTAAAACATCCATCGGAACCAATGGCAGTCAAATAATTCGACATCGAGGAAGGCTCGTCAGGGTCGCTAAGTATATAAGACAAATATTACACAGAGCCGATAGCCAAAGAAAACTAGTAGTACAAGAAAGTTAACGAAGCAGCGTGTGACTCACTTCTATCTACGAAATTTCCTAAAACATCCATCGGAACAGATGGCAGTCAAATAATTCCTCATTGAGGAGGGCTCGGCAGGGTCTCTAAGTATATAAGGTAGGTATTGCACAGGCCCCATAGCAGGAGGAAACTAGCGGTACAAGAAATTCTAGAAAGCAGCGCGTGACTGGCTTCGAAGCAGAACGGTGCGCCGAGAGCGTCCGCCAAGAACGAAACGTCACTTGTCCTCCTGCGAACGTTCGCGGGAGGTTTACGTTTACATAACTCGAGTCGCAAAGAGAAAAGGCCGCGAGAACCTACGGGATCGCCGGTCCGCTTCCTTCGCGTAGCCTTTCCGTCGCGGTTGGTCTTGCTCCTGGTGCTGGGCCTTGGACGGCGATACCATTCCTAGGCGATGCACCGCGCGGCCTGTGACGACACTTCTTTCTCGAAGAACGTTACCCGCGGCAGGGCGCTTCCCATCGCTCGACCGGCCGTCCGCTCTACTTGGACCGCACAGCGAGACTGCCGCCCAGGCCTCGTCCTGACGACCAGCGGGACATCTTCGAGGCACCAGGCGGGATCTCCTGACCACGATTCGCCTTCACGGGACGGAGAAAGCTTTCCCTGCGCACGACGTTCGTTACTGACATGAGATACTTGGAAAAAATAGCGCTCGGGTGAGTCGCGCGCCTGCAACATGGCGGTCGCCCGCCGCGACTGTGCCGCCATCTTGCGGGGAACGCCCGAGACCGCTAGCGGGAACGACGGAGACGACGGAGACGACGCGACTCCGTTGAATGGGTAGGAACTCTAGTAATAAATGTTAAGAGGACATGGGATGGGCAATGAATATATATTATAAATTTAAAATACGAACAATGTTAATATTTCTTTAAGACTTTTCAGGATTACTTCTTTTTTCGTAGCTTAAACAAGAATAATTGCTCTGGGATATGAGTTTTAAAACAACCGCGCTGCGGAGCGGAATTGAATACTATCAATGTAGATGGTGCTAATGTAACGTCCTAGGCCCGATTCCACAACTCCAGTTAACCGAAGTTTGACTGGTTTACACGTGGTTTAAACCTGTTGTATACCAGTTTAACTGATTTGCAGCAAGTGGAAACGGGGGTAAACTAGTTAAACCTAACCGAAGTTTGACTGGTTTACACTCGGTTTAACTCTTTACGGACGAGACTTTCCCTTTCTAAAAGTGTTTGGGCGGCTATTTGCCGACACTCGTCCGCAAAGGTTTAAACCTACTGTAAACCATTTAAACTCCGGTTAGTTCAAACTGTGGAACCAGGCCTTATATCGATATTTTACAGAGATGAGTTGGGAGATTGCTCACGTGCAGGGTCGCGCGATCGCACCGTGTGCTGCCCTCTGAT